CTGCGCACATCCAATCTATTCCACTGAACCTCTATGTCATTAGATGGGTTCGGACAGAGGTCCGGCAAAACTATGTCCTGGGATCTATGATACAAGGGGTTGACCTTGGGCACGAAGGAGGGATCTAACCTGAGAGTAACCCTGTCCCTATGGAAAATACACAGGTCCTTCCTCACTGACAGGGCAGCCAGCTCAGAGATCCTTCTGGCTGAAGTTACAGCCACCAGAAATGCCACCTTCATTGATAATTGTTTGAGCAAACAAGTGTCAATAGGCTCAAAGGGTGGTGAGACAAGAGCCTGTAGAACCTGATGAAGGTCCCAGGAGGGGTATCTATGTATAGTTGGTGGTCTGGCATTGTTAGCTCCTTTTAGGAAGGAGCGTATCATAGAATGCTGTGTTAAGGATTCCTTGCCACAGGAAATAACTGTGGCGAGAGCTGCTACCTGCCTACGGATGGTGATTGTGGAAAGCCCTCTGTCCAGACCATCCATCAGGAACTCCAAGATGACTGGCACTGAAGCCTGAAAGGGTCAATCTTGTGAGCTAAACCCCAATTACAGAAGCTTTTCCACATGGCATCGTATATTCTATTCGTCGAGGGTCGCCTGGATTGCTGGATCATGGCTATGACCCTTGACAAATATGAGTCTAGACCTAAGGCCTGCCTCTCAAGTGCCAGATGGTTAACTGGAGCCATTGAGGGTCCGGATGACATAGCTTCCCTTGCATGAGGGAGATCCGATTGGCTGGAATCCTCCATGGAGGGGATGTGGAGAGCTCCATCAGGTCGGTGAACCAAGATCGTCTCGGCCAATGCGGGGTGACCAGGAGGACCTCTGCTTGTTCGTGAAGAATCTTCCTGATCGTGGCAGGAAGAAGGGGTAGGGGAGGAAAGGCATAGAGTAGTTCCCTGGGCCAGGGACTGTGGAGTGCATCTGTTCCCTCCACTGATGGAGACGGGAACCTGGAAAGGAATCTGGGAAGCTGTGAGTTGGCTGGGGAGGCAAAAAGGTCTAAGGTTGGGGAACCAAACCTGTCCACGATCTCTCTGAAGATCTTCGGATCCAGCTGCCATTCAGAATGGTCCACGGTGGCTCTGCTCAGTGAGTCCGCCTGCTGGTTGGCCATTCCAGATATGTGCTCCGCCCTGATGGAGGCAAGATTCAGTTCCGCCCAAGACCCCAGCAATCTGGCCTCCTGCATGAGAGGCTTGGACCTTGTTCCCCCCTGTCTGTTGACATGGGCCTTGGCTGTGATGTTGTCGGTTAAGACCAGGACATGCTGGCCCTGTACTAAGCTACTGAATCTCTTTAAGGCCATATGTATGGCTCTTAGTTCCAGCCAGTTTATATTGTTCTTTAGATCCTGCCTGGACCACTGACCCTGGGCCCAGTGTGTGTGGAGGTGTGCCCCCCACCCAAATAGGCTTGCGTCTGTGGTGATGGTGGTCCTGTCTGGTTCTTTGAATTCTGCTCCCCGTGACAGTGCCGGAGAGTCCCACCAACGAAGGGAGTTCAACACCGACCGTGGAACTCGGACCTTCTGGTGGGATGTGCTGGTATGAAGTTTCTGAAATGGAAGGAGAAACCACTGTAATTCTCTGGCATGGAGGCATGCCCATGGCACAATCTGCACGCAGGACACCATCTTCCCTAGTAGCTGTGAAAGGGAGGCCAATGTGGCTAATCTGTCCTTTCGGATCCGACGTACAAGAGTCTGAATAGAGTTCCGTCGGTCCTGAGATAGGTAGACCGTACAGTTGCCTGTGTCTATAACTGCGCCCAGATGGAGGAGCCGAGTTGTTGGTACGGTATGACTTTTCTGGAAATTAACCAAAAAACCGTGCTCCTGAAAAACCTTGATGGCTAGGGCGAGGTCTGCTTGAGCGCTTTGTAATGATGATGACTGAATTAGAATGTCATCTAAATAGCATTGGACTCTGATGGGAATTTGTCTAAGGTGGGCTGCGATCACTGCCAGTACCTTTGTAAATACTCTCGGTGCAGATGAGAGGCCAAATGGAAGGGCTCTATACTGGTAGTGGCGTCGGGCGTAACTGAATCTGAGGAATTTGCGGTGTCCTGGAAAAATGGGGATGTGCAAATATGCCTCAGTCAGGTCTATCGAGGTAAGATAGTCACCTTGCCTGATGCTAGCCAGGATTGATTGAAGTGATTGCGTCTTAAATTTCTTATACCTCAAGTAAAGGTTTAGACCTTTTAAGTCCAAGATCGCCCTCCAGCCCCCTGAAGTCTTGGAAATGACGAAAAGGTTTGAGTAAAACCCTCGTCCTTCTTGGTCCTGTGGTACTGGTTCAATTGCTTGTATTTGCAATAAATGAGCTATTGCCTCTGACATAAGTTCAGCTCTGGTCCTGTTCTTTGAAATAGGACAAGAGCGAAATCTGTCAGGTGGATGGGAACAAAATTCTAGTCTCAGACCTTGAGTGACGGTATCTAACACCCATGCATCTGTAGTGGTGGCCGCCCAAATGCTGGAATAGAGGGCCAGCCGGCCTCCTATGGGAGGTGAGGCTGCAGGATCACTTGCCTCGCTTAAAGCGCCTCGAAAGGACCGCTTGGTCTGGAACTGTGATCTGCCTCTGTATGCTGAACGATCTTGCTGTCGTTCCTGTCTCTGAAAGCAGGGGTGAGAGGCCTGGGCCCAGTCCCAGGATGGAGCTGGCTGAAAGGACTGCCTTCTGTAGTTACTCTGCGACAAGTTCCCCCAGCGTCTATCTCCTTTCTTTGATGTGTTAACCAAGGTTTTACATTTGTCCTTACCTTCGGTTAGGTATGGCTCTAGCGCCTTACCAAAGAGATGTCCACCTGTGTAAGGTTTAGAGGCCAGATGCCACTTGGCCTTGGTGTCTGCTCGCCAGAAACAAAACACATTTAATTTGCAGTGATACTTATTGCTTGCATGTTAGACTTTCCTATTTGCAAAAACCCTTTCCACAATCTGGTACTACTGTCCTAAAGTGGGGGTGCAGAGCAGTTCATTCTACAGGTAGATCTGACTCTTCGTTTGAAACACCATATGGAACAAATATCTTACATTTTCCAACTCAGTAAATCACAGTATTTGTGCAACTAGGGAGTTTTGTTGCACTTTCTAGCCATGTTCTACTGTTGGATATACTATTAACTCTCTAATTTAATCAACCCTACCACCCATGGCTAACACATCAACAAATTTATAGGACCTACGAGTCCCTTCACTTCATTTTTACAACTATAAAATGTCTTTACCTCTTCACTTTCATCTTGGGAGCTGTTGTAGTGAAATAGCATCCACATGAAAAATTGGCAAATTATTGCATCGGAAGGCATACTAAAATCAAATTTTAAAAGAAGAAAATAAATCAGGAAGCTGTTCAGTCTTTTAACAAATACAATAATGCAATTTGGTCTTGAGATAAAGCAGCTAAGGTAGGACATGCCTTTTTAAAAAGATCCTGTTTCAGGATGTCCCTTCCATTCCTCCCCATGAACCTGACTGAAATAACTTGCCATTCACATGTCAAAGAAGAAGAGACTGAGCAAATAAAGTATTTTGTACAAAAAGTACATCCACCTCTTCAGTGACACTTGAAGCTGTCACTGTGGATACTACCAGCTAAGCCTTTTCAACCCAAATGCTCCATTCCTTACCTTGTGCCCTTTCATGCAGTTACCTTTCATATAAATCTTCAGCTATAACTTTTGTTTATGAAAATTGTGTAGTCCTTCCCAGTTGAGTTGAACAGTGATCAAACAGAGTTTTTAGATCTGAGGATTCCAAGGAGGATCAAAGGAATGTGAATGGATCATTGCCAAAGGCAGAGATTAATTTTTAATTTCAGGATCTCACTGGTTCAGTGGTTGAAGAAGAGACTGCTGAATGAGGCAGTTATAAAACATACAAGAGAACCCCATGTATCTACCCATTGCTGTACATTGTTTTGTGAAAAACTATGGGAGAAGAACAGATATTTTTCCAAGGGAAAAAAGACATCAAGCATGTGGAACTATAACTTAGATATAGATGTAGCTTTGGGATGGAAAATTCTGTCCTGCATGGCTTCTTGATTTAGGTATAGGTCAGTGAGGGCGAACCTTTTAGAGACTGAGTGCCAAAACTGTAACCCAAAACCCACTTATTTATCACTGGGTGCCAGGTGGGCGTGGTTGTGGTGGTCATGGCAGATTGGGTGAGTGTGGCCAAGGTGGGCATGGTCACCTCAATGTTGCTCGTGGGGAGGAATGCCTGTGTGGGGTGGGCAGGGGTGGGGGAGATCCAGGGGATCTCTGGCAGGTGGGGCAGGAGGCAGGGGTGAGGCAAGGCAGGGGGGTGCCATTGCCATGGGGCAAGGCAAGGGCTGGGGCGGCTGCTGCCTGACACCATCGGCCCCCGCACACAGATGCCAGCAAGCTCATGGGGGCCAAATGTCCATCAGCAGCTCCGCAGCCTTCCGCCAGCAGTTCAAAGAAGCCACCATTGAGCTGGATGGCCGGTCGACAGCTGAAAAGGCGATGCATTGGGTCGTGCCCAGGAAAAGGAGAGCATGCGAGGCCAGGAGGGACAGGATGGGGGGGAGGGAAACCAGCAATGCCGGGATGCATCTGGCCACATGGGACCTCAGCAAGTTAGTGGGCAGCTGATTGAAGAGGGGCAGTTGCCATCTCCAGGGCATGGTGCACGTGCCCACAGAGAGGGCTCTGAGTGCTGCCTGTGGCATACATGCCATAGGTTCACCATCACTGGTATAGGTTTTGTATGAGAACAATAAGATGTTCCAAGGTATTCATTTTTTCTGAATAAATTCAATAGGTTGACATGATCAACACAATTAAACACTTTCCTATAATTAATTTAAAGATATATTTACATTTTTTGCTTATTTTTCTTTTTTTCTCAGTTACCGTAAATGCCGGCGTATAAGACGACTTCCACGAGCCCTGAAATCGGCGCCAAAGACGGGGGTTGTCTTATACACCGAGTCGTCTTATACGCCGGAAATACTGGTAGTTTCCGGTGTATAAGACCACGTTCTAGGAATGCGGCCCGGCTATAAAGACGGGGGTCGTCTTATACGCCGGGTCGCCTAATACACCGGCATTTACGGTAGTCAACATGCATCAATAATAATGTGTCTTGTTCCTCATCTTTTTCTAAAGCCAGCTTGAACATCTCCCTTTCCATGTAAGCATTTGATCTGCACTGAATGATCCAAAGAATTATTGTGTCAGTATCTGAAATTGATGTTATACAATAGTTTGCACACTTATAAAGACTCCTTTCTTTGGTATTGATATATATATATATACTGCCCTGAGAAAATTTTCAGATGGGATGCATAAGAATCATGCTTTATCCTCTACTATATCATATTTTCATTAATTGTTGTTGTTTTAACTATTGACCATGTCCAATTCTTGGCAACTTTATAGGCAAGGACTCTCCATGCTATCCTGTCAAGTTCAGTTTCTCTCAATTGTTAGATGTTCAACTTTGTATCAGATATGATGTTATTAAGCCATTGTATTCTTTGTGTGCCCCTTCTTCTTGTTCCACTAACCATTCCTAGCATCATTGCCTTTTGCAATGAATTTGCACACATAACATGGCCAAAGTAAATCAGATGTAGTCTTATGATTCTAGTGATGTGTCTGGTTTTATACAATTTAACACTTCTCTGTTAGTTACTCTGGCTGTCCATAGTATATGCAATAATTTACACCAGCATCATAGTTCAAAGGCATCAATTTTTCTTCAATCAGCCATTCTTAGTATCCAACTCTCACACTCATTTTCATTAATTACTTGAACATAACAGATTAAATGTTTAACAAATTTTTCAAACAAAAATTTTGAATATTTAGGTTAATATCCTAAATCATATAGCACTGCTAGGCAGACATACTGAAAGTGACAGGTTTGAAACTTTCATTCTTCAAGTAGGAAAGAAAACTCAAATGCAAGATATGAATACTAGCCTGGTAGTAGTATTTATGAAAAAGACCTGGGAATAGTAATTTAGTAAAATTAAATGCAACTAAACAGTAGAATTTAGCAAACTAAGTACAAGCCAGTAGTTTGATCTGTTTGCAAGAAAAAAAAATATTATTTTAAGATACATGTATAGAATTATAATTTCCACATAAGAAACAATTTCACTTTATTCTACTTTGATGATACCCACCTTAAGTATTACATACTATGAGGAGTTCAAAAAAAATTCAGAGAAATGGGATCAAGTTCAGAAAAAGCAAGAGAACAATAAAGACTAGCTTTTATCATCCAGGAAGACATTCAGGTCACAAAATATCAACCCCATTAGGCAGACCAGACCAGAAAATCAATTCCACAAGAAGGCTAAAACCATTGGTTTTACAGTGACAGAATTTTATAAATCTTATACTACTGTACCTCCTCCTTCTCAAACTTTCAATGAATTAATTATGTGTTGCCTCAATCACTTCCAAATGTTCTTAATGGGCTTAAATAATGTTCCAGTTCTTTTTATTTACTTCCTGCATATTTCCATTATTCTCCACACATAGGAACTGGTAGGTGAAAGTGGAAAAAACTGTACAGATAGGTATGCACTTGGCATTCAAAAGTTAAGAGATCAAAATTTCAGTGTCATTCCAACTCTTATTGTAAATATTTGAGCATCGAGACACTAGAGTCAATCAATATCAGCATGCCCAACTATCTTTTTGTTTATACATAAATGACATGGCTTTATAGCATAATAGAAATCTGACAAAACAGGGATTTCCTGTCTTGCATTATAGTGACGCGGCCAAAGGATTGTGGGGCTCTATACCCCACAGCTGGTTTCACCCTGCCAGGGGACCCTAAATGGGTCAAAAATCACCCCGGAGAGGTGACGAAGAAGAAGAGGCCCTCTGCTGATCACAGAATGATGGTAGTCAATGCTTTTGTCCAGGGGAAGCTCTCCAACCCAACAGGAGAAAGGCTAGCCACACCTAGCTGACTAGCCCAAGCTACCTGCAGCCAAAGTCCAAAAGCACTAACCAGAACAAATGTGAACAATGTGCTTGGAACTGGGTGAGAATATCAGTCTTCTTTCTCCTATTTTGTAACTGATTTCCTGGAAAAGATCTCCAAAAAGCAAAAAATCCTCCGAAAGTGAGAAGGGAGGGGACTACTCCTACCCTTCCATAGAAGGAAGCAGCGAATTAATGTTTATGGGAGACAGAAATATATTGAAGTTAATAATACTACAGTTTGGATAAATCTGAAAATTATGAAAACTGCTAAGAGTCCATATCTAAAAGAGTATTGATGAAGTTATAAGAAAATATAAGAAAATAATTCTTTGCTTAAAAGTTGGAAAATGAATAGCTACTGACATCTAGTGGAGGATTAGAGTATAATACTACAGCCGCATTGACTCAGGAATTGGCAAGACACTCAGAAATAGAGAAAAACATGTTCCTGTCATGGTTCAGATAAATGAGACCAGTAGAAATAAGAACTCTGAGGCAATTGCTTTCCTCAAGGAACACTTTTAATGGTTACATAATATCAAAGGTGAAACCAAGGTGAACAAATGTGAAACCAAGACAGAAAGTTACCCCCCCCTCAAAAAAAGGTTACAAAGTAAAAGTTAAACTCCCTACCCATTAGTGTGTCATAAATCACTATCCCCAATTAACACCTTTGGCAGGCTTCCTAACGGTAGCTCCAGCCCGCCAAACACTTATGCTGCTTGATCTTGGCTCCCACACAAAATTTATTTTTTTGACTAAACTATAAAACTATAAGAATGTATCTTCCCCCTCCCATTGCTGTGGTAGCCAAAAAATGAAGAAACATGGCTGTATTCAGAGTGTTTGAAGGTCTGACAGTTCCTTTGAACCTAGAGACTTTAGCCAAATAAAGAACAGCTGACAGAGAAAAGATAATATATTGGGCTATCTACTACAGAGTGAGAACCACATTTGTTTTAAAAACTGCTGACCTTCTGAGATTATAAATATTTACTGAGCTGTGATTTCTAAGCTCAAGAATTGTTTGCAGAGAAAGAAAAACCTTGGCTTTTGGCTAATCTTCTAGGGGGGAAGTTTTACTGGAAAACGCTTAGGTGGCTAAACATTCTGGACTGCAATTTTGGCTGGTTATTAATTGGACCCCTGAACAGAAGAACTGTTATAAAATACTGGTTTCAATAGTGCATTGACAAATTGGAAACACATTGGATTACAAAAACCATACATAAAGATAAGAACTATATAAGATTTGGTTGTTTGGATTTTAAGATTGGCTGGTTTGATAAAGCTAATCATAGGGACTATGGTACTGGTGAAAGACTATCTGCAGGGAGGGGAACACAAAATGGATGTTACATACCTATTTAAAAGTGACAGGAAACCACACCTAATATTCCCTCCTGAAGGCCTCAGCCTGGAACATCAGAGATCTGCAGGAGCAACACTCCAAGACAAGGCAAATACTTTCCAGGAGGAAATGTATGCAATGCTGCAACAGAGTCAAATGACAATTGTTTCAAACCAAGATGAAATTAAAAACAACTTTGATGACATAAATGAGCACATCTTCAACTTAAACTTACAATTAAAACATTCTCGGAAAACTATGACAAAGAATGAACAAACAAATCAGATACAGAACATAAATCAGAGGAAAATGACCCAAATACAGAAGCTACAAATGAAGAGAACTACAGCTTAATACAAACAAAAGAAAATTAGCAAGATTTTGCCACAACAATGAAAATGAAAAAGATATTTTATCTTTCAGGACTTCAAAACAAACTTGAGGATAAGAAAGAAGATCTAACAAAATGGATTACAGAACTGCCAGGAGAATCATTAGAGTTTGGGAGACAAAAAACGTACATCCTATTTAACTTGTCTTTTTCATTCCCAACAACACTCACAAAAATACAGGAAGAACTCCCAGGCAAGCATTCTGACTTGGAAAGCTACCTGGCAAAAGAAGAAGGCTAGAGTTATAGTCAAGAGATTTGATTCAGCTTACCAGATGAAGTACTATATGATTAAACACTTATTTAAATATGGTTAAAAGAATAGATAAATTTTGGCTATATCCCTACAGCAAGAGGGATAAGATATATAAGTAGTATAGTACTTTTTATAATATATGTAATGTAAAAATATTGGGATGGTGTACGTGAATGTAAAGTTTGGATATTTAAAGGTAATTAATTTTGAAAAAATTATGATTGATAAGAATGGTTTGAATATTGAGGGGAAAACAAACTTAAATAAGAATCTTGAAAATAGGACATATAGTGAGTTAAAGATGACTTTTACAAATACAATTGAAACATAAGTCAATCAGAAAAGATGTTATATGTTGATGTTATTGTTATTTGTACAAACACAAGAAAAATGTTTATATTCAACCTTGTATGTATAGAAAGTATTAAGTATTATATTTGGTTAATGTTGACAAAGGAGAATACTACTGGAAGAAGAGAAGATCAAGGAAATATATAATTAACTAATCTATTACTAATATATTGATTATGGAATTATAGAAATTAATTATTATTGACTGTTTTTAAATTTTTGAACCAAGACAACATGCTGTTTACTAAGCACTAAAGATTGCTATTTGTAAAAAACCAATAAAATATATTTTTTTTAAAAAAAAGAAATCTGAATAAAACATCGTTGTTACTGTGTCTAAAATCTTATTCTCTATTGCTGGCCTAAAGTTTCAGAACTGCCGTAACAACAACTTACCTTAATGCCATTGTGAAATCACTTGAAGGATGACAAAATACTTCAAGAATATCTCATAAACCTATGTTCAATTCCCCAAACCTACATTTGGTGCAGATCCTAACCTTTCCACAGTCTTTGCTTATCAATCTTAGAGTTGACTACTCTTTCCCAACAGGAAAATACCCTAGTTGGGGAAGGCTGCTATCTTGAATATCTCACTGTGACTCAGATTGTTTCAAAAAGACCAGTCATAATTGGAATACTGAATTGGTTATCCTTTTTGGAAATATTACTCCAAAAGATTGATTCTGTAAATTTATTATCTTATTAATTATGTTGTACATTAGGAGCTGAGATAGCTTTGTTCTTTTCTTTGTCTTTGTTCTGTTTTCCATAATCAGAAGACTATATTCTTAGATTGTTTTCCTTAACTGGCTTCCTACAGGAAATTCTTCTATCATTCATTTTATTCCCTGCACTATGAATGAAAAAAATGCATAGTGAAGGGAATGAAACATTTTCTATTGGAACATGCAACTTGCTTAATAAACATTTACTTATCTCTTTCAACCTGTCTTTAGATAGCCTTTATGAGTTTTATTCTATCCACATGTATATGTTCTGTTAAATTCAGGTCCTAGTAATGAACAATAAAATTCCAAGGGTTATTTCAAAATAAGGAGATTGAAGTGTACCTACCCTTTGATCCAGAAATTCTATAACCTATCCTTTCATTTTGGAATGGTTGAGCTACAACATCTGTAAAATATAAGCAATTAAAAAAAACCTAGATTAGGATATCTTTCTGAGCTAAGAACATCCTGCTGTTAATTGCTCACATAAAAAGAATAAACTAGTAGTGCAGTAATTGAATTTTTATGGAAATAAACAGGTGGCAGATTTACTATAATTGTGGGAGATAGCAGGGGGCAAATGGCTATGGACGTATTAACCTGTTTAATTGAATCATCTGCATTTCCAACACAAATAAATAAATAAACATCATGATACTACATGGTGAGCTGTGTACCAAATCAAAATAGTTACAATCATCCATGTATGCCAATGTGCCAGTAAGATAAGTCACTATGCCAGGTTCCATCATGTTGATATGTTTTTTATTTATACTGCAGGAAGCTACAGAAACAAAAGTTGACGTCCGACAAAAGAGACACAAAACATGGTGTTACTTAGATATAGGAGGCAAATGAAAAGACTCCCTGCAAAATCAAGGTTTTGCTAAGGGAAAATCTCACTGAAGCCATTTTATGTATATTTTTGTATCGTGCTACCTCCTAGTGGAGCAATGTAGTCAAGACATCTGCAATGAAAGTTTTTAAGTACAAAGTTTTAGATAATTTAGTAACCAGTCAGTTTTTAAATTGTAACTAATCACATACTGTCAGGCTGTAAGAATGTCTCTTATTAAATAAGTCATTTCTCACCTGCTACTGAAACAGAAATAAAAGATGCTTTTTTATGAGAATAATGTGCAACTAGATTATATTTCTATTGCCAGTCTTAGGTTTTTCCATATTAAATAGATGGATAAAAAAGGTTAAAGGTCCAGCTTTGCCCAGCCCAGGAAAAAGTATATTTTTGTACAGGAGAAAGCCAAGATGTGCTAACTACTCTTCATGAGTTTTCTAAATAAATTGGAACCTGATTAGGCAAATTTCCATCTCAAGTGGAAAAAAAACCTTTGCTTACAGACTTGCTTGGAGATACCTTCATGGGTAATGGCCATTGAACAAGTCTTTGTTTACATGTGTATTCATGCGTTTTTTGGCAATATTGTTGCTACTCATGCTGACAAAGCTGTCCAATCTTTTCTTCATTGTATTTATTCAATCATTTGGAAGTCTATAATACTTCCAAGAGAAGTATTAGAGAACCTCTGAAACTACGAAAATAATGAAAAGTCAACAACAGGCTCTTCACCATGACTTTATGTGCAGATAAAAAAGAGAAAATTTGTTACTGGGGAAAACAGGAAATGTCTGAAAATTGCTTCCTCAATAATATTGGAGGTAGTAGCACAGTAGTGGTGAAGCAAATCACAGACAAGCATTAGAGGCTTGGTAGGTGGATAAAGCTGATGGAAGTGAAATCTGAAAGCCTACCTTGAACCACTAACTCCATCATCCTTTACAAGTCCTAATTTCCCTGATGGAACTAGTAAGTGCCATATCTGGCAAACACTGCCCACACCCACTATCTGATTATAAGTCACCTGAGAAAACTGATTTTTAAAGACAAGTGATCAATATATTGAATGAATTAATTAAATTAAAATACCCAAAAGCTCTGCTGAAACCATAACATGATTTGGATTCATTAATGAATCCCAGAACTGCAGTGTCTGTTGCTAGGCATATTTTAGCTTTTAGTTATCAAGGCTGGAAATGGAAAAGGTAGAACTATATAATCCCCAAAGCAATTGCTGTCAACCAGCTATATATGCACTGATTTGAAAGAGATTTTTATCAGTCTTCTGATTTGCTACCTGAGTCAGGGAGCTCTGTTTTGGAGTGTAAATAAGTTTCTTCATACTAGTTTTAATTAGGTTAAGCTGATCCTCTGAAGATTTCTTTAGTGCTGTTGTGATGCCAGAATTACATCCATGCATATCCTTATTGGGAAATGTTCTATTTGCCCAAGACAATACATAATATTAAATATATATATGGGTGAATGATATTGTGAAGCTATAACCTATATTATCAGAACTGATTAATTTGAACCATAGTTCACTGTGGAAGCCAAGAAATAAAGAAATAAAAAATAAAGATATGAAAAAAATAAAAATTTACAAAACTGTTTTTATCTGAGTTAATGCCAAATCTATAGCACTGTAGATAATTCAACACAAGGTTTTACTTGTGTTTTTAATTATTCTGCAGGACATGTGATTCTAACATCTGCAAAACTCTAGCCTCAATTTAAAGTGTGTGTATGTTTTACAACACTTCCCCCAAGGAACAACTTTTTAATTTAAAGTTTTATCACTATTATGCCAGGCTAGGAGGGAGGGTATAGGACACCCAGCCTAGCAGCTATAGTCTTTCAGCTGATAAAAATTTTTTGTTGCTGCTATTGCCTGTCAGGGAGACTTTTGCAGCTACGTCAGGATGATTAGACAAGAAGAAGCTATTCTGTGTTTTGAGAAGATGAATGATAAGTAAAGCGGTGGATTAATGATTTGGTAACGTGGTACATCAGAGGCATGTATGAATAATAGAGGAGAGTGTAAGTTAGTGTTCATACAGTACCTGGTCATGGATAGAAACAATATTAATCACTTCTAAAAGACTCCTTGCATTGGATCTGAATAGAAAGAATGAGTCCTTAATTGATTATTATAACATTCATCTAAAAGGAAACTGGAGTTTCAGAAACCCATCCAAGAGAGGCCATGGTGGGCAAGGTAGGCATGGTAAACTAGAGTTATGGTCTATTGCTGGAAGTTTTAAGGAATTGTGGAAATGCTGTGATCAAAAATCAAAAAGGTCATAGCAGGCGATGCTCAAAAATAGCCTAAAGAATATAACATAGTATAACATTATTATTAATCACCCCCAGATTAATAATATCAAAAGAAAGCATAGTCACACAAAATAAAATATATAATTGACAGAAGAGTGGAAAACTGTTTGGTCTTGTAACAAAATTAGCAATACCAACTAGTAAAGCCCAACTCTCTATCCTATGTTAAATAATCTAATACGAAGACTACACAACTTGTTTTTTTTTTTAAAAAAAAAAAAATACAGGTTACCACTTTGGGGGAAGTTTAAAAAAGAAAAGTTTAAAAAACCTTTAGTGGTATTCCCAAACAACACTAAAACAATCTTTGTAAGGAGTTGATATAGTGCTTGAAAGGTACTTTGTTCATTATGGCCAAAGGAAGTAGGTATTCCAATACTTAGTCATGTTATCACCAGAATTTACCTTGCTATGTGATGGAATATTCATATAGCATAGTTGGTGGAAAGAGAGGAAAAATAATTTTTAAAACTAGAACGGTTAAAGACAAGTCTGAGCCATCTTCACAATGAACTGGGTATAAGATGGAGGCTGAAGATAGAGACCTGGGATAAAATGGATACTGTGTTGTCATGGCATGTCCTTTGGGGGGAAAAAAAACTGTTTTCAGGAAATCTTCATAGCAGAATTAGTGAGGTGTGTGATTGAGTTCCACAGTACGTAACAAAATATAACAGTTATCCAAAGGAAAAGGAAAGCTCTATTACTCCATATTATACTCAAGAATGATGATTGAGTCAAACCAGATTACTATATATCAATGCCAGACTTCTTTTCAAACACTGATCCCTGTTAACATGGGTGGGTTATCTCCACGTAGTCTTCATCATAATATAAGAAATTATCAGTAAGATAACCTTATTAAGCATTATTCACAGAAGAGATATACTTTTACAAGGTAAGTTAGAAATGACATCTACCAGAAAAATAAAGTGACATTTATTTTAGATTTTGGTTTCCAAATCCAAGTTTCATAAAATGCAAGAAGCCAAATTTGAAAAATGAAAAAAAAAAAATTAAAAATATGAACTCTGGAGGTAAAGCAAGGAAATAACAGCATAATGTTTAATATGAATAATTAGTAATAATGGCATTATAGATATGAATGGGACATAGTATTAGAATCCTTGATCTGCTTATGTTGTTATCTAGTGTTCATAAGCACATGACTCATAATGTTTGATTTTGTGCAACATTTGTACTGTAAAAATAGTAAGAATATCTCATTACTAATTGCTGGAGAAATACAAAAGTGTGCTCCATAGTAACTGTGTTGAGTACAGTGAGAATGTAATGCTGGACAAGATTACTTTTTGATCTACACCCACTCTTTGTTTAACAACCGCATTCTATTTCAATGTCTTGGCTGTTAAGCAAAGTGGTCATTAAATGACTGAGAAATTAAAGAGATGCTGCGCTCTTTGGTTGCTGCTATCTCATTCAAATAAAGTTCTCTCTTACCATGTCTTGTGCCTGACCCTTCTTCCCCCTTTTTGCCCCTTCGCAGGGTAAAGAAATTGCTTAAACAAGCTGTCTCTTACTGAATTACTTTTCTCTGCAGTGCAAAGCTTTAAGTTAAGTGCTAACTGTAAGTTAACAAGGTTAGCTCTGTAACCTTAACTTGTTGATAACAACCCTCCAGCCAGCTTGTGTTGCTGCTTGAAACTGACAAGACCTTAAATCAGTTTCATATTTTTGTTGTCAACCCTATGAAATTTGATTATAAATATGCGCATATGTATATATTTATTCTATTTACTATCATCATATTTGCAAATAGTCACTGATAGTTACTAAGCAAGAGTGGTTGTACTTCAGAAATGTTGAAGTAGACTAAAGTCCAAAACAATAAAATGATGAGATGGTTAGGACTAGGGTTGGAGTGAGGATGTGACATTTTTTTAGGAAAGAACATTTTTTTATTTGGGAATGAAATCTCATCCACATGTGCACTACCTACTCCCTAAAAAGTGGAGACAGTCAATCTGAAAAAAAATACACAGATTAGGATTTGGGTCTGGGCTAAATGATTATGGCACCTCAGCTTCCCATTCTTTCTTTGATAAAGATTCACATGCCAGCGCACAAGCATATACAGATTCTAGAAACAATAAAATATTGTCTAATATTCTTAGAGTAAACTGGTTAAGAATGTTATAAGGGAGATATTTATTGTTCCTCAGCCAATGCTTCTTCTATATACCAGAAGTGTT